TTGAAGGAAGCTAACGCTCTCAAAAACAAAGTGGAGGATTTACTTAAAAAAGCAAGAACAAACAAGAGCTATTGTCTCTGGCACTGTCCGAATTGGATTTGGCAATACGGCGTGGGCAAGAAGTTAGCAAAGAAAAAAGTGGACATTGAAAATTGTATAGAAGAAGGCAATAAGTATATACAACTTGAACGTGTTGCTACACTTCCTTTAGGCATGCCAGATTTTCCTTTTGAAAAATGTTTGGAATTTGATAGTAGACAATCTGCTTATGAGCAACTGATGGAGGCACTGAAAGATGACAAGGTTGCCATGATTGGATTGTATGGCATGGGGGGGGGGGGTTGGCAAGGGAAGTTAAGAAGAGAGCAGAAGCTGAGCATCTTTTTGACAAAGTTCTTTTTGCGCCTGTGTCTAGTGCAGTAGAAGTTCGAAGGATCCAAGATAAAATTGCAAGTCCACTACAGTTTACCTTTCCAGAAAATGAAGTAAGGGAGAAAGCCCAACTCTTGTGCAAGAGATTAACCGAAGAAAATAGGATTCTTGTGATTCTTGATGATGTTTGGGAGAAGCTTGATTTTGGAGCCATAGGAATTCCCTCCAGTGAACATCATAGGGGTTGCAAGGTTCTCGTTACCACAAGATCTGTCAATGTTTGTACTTTGATGGATTGCCAAAGAAAGATTCCACTATCAATCTTAACTAATGAGGAAGCTTGGGCTCTTTTCCAAAATCAAGCTCATATATTTGAAGGCACCTCTGATAGCTTAAAGCATTTGGCAAGACTAATTTCACATGAATGTAAAGGAATTCCTGTTGCTATTGCGGCTGTGGCTAGTACTCTGAAAGGTAAGGTTGAAGTGAAATGGAAGGTTGCATTGTATAGATTGAAAAAATCAAAACCAGTGAATATTGAAAAAGGATTGCAAAATCCTTACAACTGCCTGCGGTTAAGCTATGGTAATTTGGACAACGAAGAAGCCAAGTCACTTTTCTTGTTTTGTTCTGTATTTTCCGAAGATGATGAAATCTCAGCTGAATATTTAACCAAGATTGCAATAGGACTAGGCTTAGTTGGAGAAGTTCGCCCATACGAAGGGGCAAGGAATGAAGTGCGTGGAGCTAAAAAAAAGCTCTTGAATTCTTGTTTGTTGTTGGATGCTAATGAGAGGAAATGTGTCAAAATGCACGACTTTGTTCGCGATGTTGCCCTGTGGATTGCAAATAAGGAGGATAAAGTGATCGAGTGTGCATTGGAAGAGGATGTGCACGTGGATTCCAAATCATTAAGATATCTATGGATTGCAAATAATTTTTGAGACAAAAATACCCCAACACATATAAAAACCTAGACCCAATCTATCAATTATAAAAGTAAAAATAGTTTGAGGTTATTTTTGTAAAATAACCTCATATTCCAGGTCATATTTCGTTCTAAACCAAACATAGAATCAGTAATCTTTACCCAATATTCCCGGTAATATTTTGGCGAACCAAACACCTTTTTCGTAAGGTTACAAGTAAACTCAATTTCTATTGTATTCTCATTAATCGTGATTTCCGAATACTAAAAAATTTCTCTTGTACCAAACACACCCTAAGTCGTTTTCTGGAACTTTCCGTCCCATTCATGCAGTTTCAAGAGGTTTAGACGTCGGCAAAAAATATTAGTTTTGATTGTTAATAATCATTACTAGCGGATCTGTGGCGCAATGGTAGCGCGTCTGACTCCAGATCAGAAGGTTGCGTGTTCGATTCACGTCGGGTTCAATCCCATTATCCGCTATTTTGATTAATGGGGCTTTACAACGTGAAGGTTGCGTTAAAATTCACGGGCCTTGTGCGCGTTTTATTTTAAATGAATGCTTAATGTCTGGCAGTTCTTTTTATATAAGTTTTTTGGGAAAAGTTTTTTTGTCATTGGTAGTTCAATGATCGAATCAAATGTGAAGTGTTGGGATGATAGTGATTTAAAATAATATCGTAAAAAAAAAAAAATTAAGCCACAATAACACGTTAAATTATTAACAATTTCATATTATCCAGTTTTTTTATTTCTTTTCTTCCTTCTCTACTTAAATTCCCATAAACATTAGTGATATGAACTTGCATATATTTAAACATATTATAAAATAAACTTTGAGCAACTGTCGTGTAAACCATGTAGCAGATGAGGTTCAAAGAGGTCTCAATTTGAGAGTTGAGTACGAGAGGCAGGATCACATGGACAAGCAGTTCATAAAGCACTAAGAGAGCGAACAAGAAGGGAATAACTTTGGGTTATTGGTTTAAAATTGTTGCACGCATTAGCAATAACAGCAAAGCAGCATCACCAGTCTAAGAATATGGATCATAAAGAAGTAATTGATGACTTAGTATATACAGTTCCATGTTATACAGTAGAATTTCGGTATTCTAATATATCATTAATGCTAGACCATTCTTATATGAATTAATTGGTGTCTCAAATGAGGTTACTAACTAGAGAAGAATTAAAATGTATATAGATATCCAGTTCTATTGTAATTTGCAGAGGTCTTTTATTGACTATAGACTATATTATCATATTATGACTGAACAAGAACAAATATGTTACATTATCTGGTTTAGGGTTATTGAGGTTTCCACAGAATAATGCTTTAACAATATGCAAAATGTATAATGAAAATTAATAAATAATACTAGTTTTGTCGGAACATCGACGACCAAAGTGTCATTTTTTGGGGAAAAATTTACCCAAATGCCACATGAACAGTACTTTTTATTAGATTGTCACGCGACGTAATTTACTATGACTGGTAGCGAATTACGCCAATAATTTTGTGACACGTGGCACATTTTCGCAGAGAAAAGCTGACTGGACGAAGTTCACTATTAGTGGTAGAGAATTTGGTACGCAATGTGGCCACGTGTCATGCAATCATAGATGCACATAATTTGCTACTAGTAGTAGCGAATTATGTCACGTGACAGTCTGGTAAAAAGTACTGTTCGCATGACATTTGGGTAAAAATTTTGACAAACAATGACACTTTGGTCACTGTTCCAGTTTTGTCGACAACCAGCCCACATAACATATCGAGAAGAAATAAAGTATATTGTGGTACCAGAGTTCAATACATCATATAGAAAAAAGAGTAAACACCCTTTTTAGTCCCTGTCAATATCTACGAAGTCCTTTTTAGTCCCTGGCAATAAAAAAGGACCAAATTGGTCCCTGAAAGTACAAGAAAAAGGTCTAACATGGCCTTTTTTTGGTAATTTCAGGGACCAATTTGGTCCTTTTTTATTGCCAGGGACTGAATAGGACTTCGTAGATATTTCCAGGGACTAAAAAGAGTGTTTACTCTAGAAAAAATATGAGTAAAGACCCAAATTGGTCCCTGACAAAAAATGCGGTGGCCAAATTAGTCCCTAAGAAAAATAAACTCGTTGAATAGTCCCCAACAATGTGAAACAGGACCCACGTTAGTCCTTCTGTCAAACCAAAAGTGATGGTGTGAATGACGGTGATGATGTGTCACGTTAAGTGAGATGCTGAAGCCCACATGGATATGAAGAACGACGTCGTTTTGAGAAACTCTGCCACCGTGGACAGACCAGTTTTTGTAAAACCCAAATTTTCCCCTTACCTAACCGTTGGACACTTTACCTTTTTCCTCTCTTCTAACATCGACGCTTCATTGTTGAGAAGGAAGGAAGAAGACCGTGGAGTAAACCTTGGTACCTGCGTTTGGAATACTGCGAACTTCTTCAAGAATCGGAGGGAACCAGTGGAAAACAAAGACAACTTGGGAGACTTTGTGAGGCTGAGCATTCCGTTGAAAAAAGGTAAGAGTATTTATATGTTGAAACATTTTTATATTGTTCTTTGTCATCCTTTTGCTTGTGGTCCCCATGTTGTTCCCCTTTGTTTAATGCTTGTTTGATTCTGCATGAAGTGGACATTTGTGGTCCATATTTCCATTTAGGGTTTTTTTTAAAAGAAAGTAACAATCGGGTGGTGTGGTCCCTGCTCTACAAAAAGTGCCATGGTTGACCCAATAACATTTAAAAAACCCATGTTAATCGTTGGAATACATGTCAGCATCCATAAAAAATGTTGCTTTTTTTATTGCTTTGTATTGTTTAACCCTTTCAAAGTCTGTGGCCGTTGGTTTAATGATAGGTTTGGTTTTTTGGTTTTGACAGATGTCCGAATACATAGTGATTGTTTATCATCACGGTGGTATGTTTGTCAGAGATGAAGATGGAGTGATGACCTATATATATGGAAGGGTGGACTCATTGCCGGAGATGGACATTGACTACTGCAATATTCGTGACCTTGACACCCTGTTTAAGCAATATGGGTATGAAAAATGCAAGAGGATGATGTGGCTACAGCGTGGGGTACCCGATTTGGATCAGGGGCTGAGACCTCTTAGTACATATTCAGATGTGTGTGCTATGTGTGAGGCTGCTTTAGGGAATGGTAGTGAGATACATGTCTACTTTGAGGGCTGCATCTCAATTCCCCAGTTTGCTTCACCTACACATGACAGTGAAGAGGATAATGTCATTAATTCAGCACATAATGAGGAACATGAAGAGGTTGATGATGGGGTCAATTCACATGAAGGTTGTGCACAAGGTGATGATGGGGTCAAAGAAAATGAAGACCATGCACAGGCTGCTGATGACCTGAATGCACAAGGTGATGATGGGATCAATTCGGACCATGATGAAGACAGTGGAGAGGATGCTGGTTATGGGTCTGAAGATGATAATGCAGATGATGACAATGCTTCCTCATACTCAGATTCATATGAGAGTGCAGAGGATGAGGTTTACAAGCCTCCCCCACCTGGTGTTGACGATGATTCAGAAGATGACGATGATGATATGAATGTGCCAATTGTAGAGAAAAAAGGCCTGCAAAACAGACCCCAAGGAGGAAGGCAGTCAAGAAGGATGCCCCAATTCAAGACTCTGAATCTGAAAAAGTTGATGAAGAGGAAGTCATGATATCATTTGAGGAAGAAGGATATACCTATATATCCGAGGAGTTGAGGACTCCTCCTTCAAGTGATGATGATGAGAATGTTAGACCTATTATGCCAAAGTTCAATGAGCAAGCTTCTTTTGGGCATGTCTATTTAGAACTTGGTATGGAGTTTATGAATCTGGACCAATTTAAGTGTGCAGTAAAAGATTATAATATCAGTCTTGGGAGGAACTTCGTATGGGTTAAGAATGACAAGGTCAGAGTAAAGGCCAAATGCAGTGTAGAAGACTGTGAATGGATGGTGTGTTGTGCCTGGAACAGTAAGCAAAACACATTCCAAGTTAAGACTTTTAAAGAAACTCATAAATGCTGCAGAGTCTTCAAGAATAAAAGGGCTACAAGAGATTGGGTGGCCAAGAAATTGGAGAAGAGAATACTAACACAGCCCAAGATGACAAGGACAGAGGCATTTGAGCACATGAAGGAGGAATACAATGTTCATTTGGATATGAAGAAAGTAAGTAAGGCTTTGAAAAAAGCAAAGGGGACCATTGAAGGTTGTGAGAAGGAACAATATGAAAGACTAAGAGAATATCTGGCTGAGCTGTTGAGGAGCAACCCTGGCTCCAGTTGCAAATTGCAAGTCTCCCCCCAACCTATTCCACAAGCATTGCCAATATTTGACAGAATGTACATCTGCCTTGATGCTTGTAAAAAGGGCTTCAAAGCTGGATGCAGGCCCTTAATTGGGTTGGATGGATGCTTTTTGAAGGGCTATTATGGAGGTCAATTATTGAGTGTTGTGGGTGAAGATGCAAACAAGCAATTCTATGTCATTGCCTATGCCGTGGTTGATAGTGAGACCAAGGATAATTTGAAGTGGTTTCTGACATTATTACAGGAAGATTTAGGGGATCATGCAGTATTTGGGTTGAACTTCATTTCGGATCAACAAAAGGTAAGGCTTTATCTGTGATCTGTTGTTGATGTTAATGAACTTGTTCTGTTGTTGATCAAGTAATTCTCTGTTGTTGATCAAGCTCATTATCTGTGATCTGTTTGCTTTGTCCATGTAGTGTGTGTTTTGTGTTGTTGCCATTGCCTTGATGTTAATGAATATTTTCAAGCAATTCTTTGTAGTTGCCATTGTTGTCATTGATCTTATTGAATATTTTGGATTGTTTTGAATATTTTCATCTATGTTGTTGCCAATGTTATACAGTTTCTGGTTTATGAAGGGCTATGGTATGTGTGTTCTGTTTGCCTTGTCTAATGCTGTTTAATAACCTTTACAAGTCCTCCACAAATATTATCGAGGACCATTTCAGTCCTAGTTTTTTAACGAAAGGAACCATTTTGGTCCCTAACATTTTTATCAGGGGTACATATTGGTCCCTGCAACAGTTCTTTTAACATGAGCACTTAACACACCAGCACTGTCATTTCCCCTTATACATGCTGATATTAATCATGCTGATTTGAGATTGTATTTTAATTTTTTTTTGTCATTCACATACAGGGACTTGTCCCAGCCTTGAAAGAAATTATGCTAGGTTCACACCACAGGTTCTGTGTACAACATGTATGGAAGAACTTCATCAAGCAGTAGAAGGATAAAGAGACAAGAGGAATTGTATGGGAATGTGCTAGATGCACCACTGTTCCCCAATTGGAGAAGGTCATGCAAAGGCTGAAGACTCTAAACTAACCAGCTTGGAAGTATCTTGACAATATACACCCTTCATGTTGGGTTAAGACCTATTATAGTCATTGGCCTAAATGTGACAATATCACAAATAATATGGCTGAGGTGTGGAATGCAAAGATTGGGAATTATAGGGACAAACCTATAATGACATTGTGTGAGGAATTGAGGTGCTACATAATGCGAAGGATGACAACACACAAGAGGATTCTACAAACCTTTAGGGGTAAGATAGCACCTGCACAGCAGAAGAGGCTGGACCAGTTGAAGGTTGCAAGCAATTCTTGGACACCAACATGGACTGGAAACTTGGTCCAAGATCTCTACGAAGTATCTGGAAAGGGTCAACGTGTTGGGGTGAATTTAACTCAACAAACTTGTAGTTGTAATGTGTGGCAGCTGACTGGATTGCCTTGTGAACATGCCATTGCTGCCATTGCACACAAGAATGAACCTGTGGAAAATCATGTTCACCAATGGCTGACAGTTGATGTTTTGCATGCCACTTATGAACACACTCTCAACCCAGTCAATTCCCAACAATATTGGTCAGCTTGTGATGCCCCAAAACCACTTCCTCCACGCTTGAAAAGGCCTATTGGACGTCCAAAAAAGCATCGCAAGAAGGATCCCACTGAAGAGCTTATGAAGACCAACAAAAAGCTTAAAAAGACTTACACAGTTCAATGCTCCAAGTGTGGTGAGACTGGTCATTACCCCAAGACATGTAAGGCACCTCCTGGTGGATCAAAGAAAAAAACTAAACCGGTTAATGTTGAAGTTGGCCAGTCAAGGACAGTTGAAGAAATCATCATGAGCATGAGTCAGGGCTGCCCTCCAGTAGAGACAAGCAGCCAGCATGCACCAAATGCACCTGAACCAAGAGGCAGCAGCCCACTACCATGCAATCCTGCTGAGGCAGTGATCAGTGAGACAGCAGCTGCAGCTAGCAGTGGCACCAGAGCCAGATTCATGAGCTTCATGACTACACCAGGATTCAGGCCAACTAGGCCAGCCCCACATAACTGATTTGGAATTGTAATGACTGACATTAGGCCAGTTCAAATGTGACAGTTGTCATTTTTTTGTACTTATTAAGCCAGTAGCTTGGAATTGTAATTAGGCCAGTTTTTTGGTATTAGTTTGGTATTGGCCCTGTTTAAATTATTCACCAATGGCTTTTTTTTGTATGCCTCTGGTTATGGCCATATTAAGTATGAACACTTTGTTTTTTGAGAAGACAAAGTGTTCCTACTTAATGGTCCTTATTATGTCAGTTGGAATTGTAAGTACAAAGTGATGATATGAATGGAATATGTTTTTTGGATTACTAAATCTCTTATGTCATTACTTTTTTTCATTGCTGTCATTGATGTGAAATGAATGGAAGATTATGTCAGTTTGGTTACTATCGGTATTCACTGTCACGACTATATTCAATACTCTCAAACAATACTATTTTTTGTTTCTGTCATTACCATCTCTTTGGCAGATTGCTTGTCCTGCTTGCATTTTGTATGCTGTGTCATTTTGGGGTCATGTGTAAACATACCTGAACTTAGCACATTGGTCCCTGTTATATACCTTATAAGTCCTCCACAAATTTTATCGAGGACCATTTTAGTCCCTGTTATTTTCCACACTTTGTCAAATTGGTCCCTAACAAATTCATCGAGGCCCAAATTAGTCCCTGCTAAACATGACAGTAAGACCAATGCCACAAAAAGTTGTTACCATAGAAAGCTCATTCCCCCCTTCTGTATAATTCCCTCCATCCTTGTTGTTAGTGTTCATACAGTCTTTTGACTTTTTAATTGGCATTTCCAGATAACTTAATACTTAGCAGATTGTGCTTTAAGAACAATCAAGTTCAAGGACATTAACCAAATTATATACATTGCATGAACAATATCTCATTACATCCCAACACTGGTCTTTCCATTACAGAGAAGCATACATATTATAGATTCAAAATGAACATTTCACTCCACCCTACTACAAAGATATAGACATATTACAAAGACAATGATAATGGATCCAGCAAACACCCTAGCACACCTACACACATGCATCATTTCCTTCTCAACCCTTTCAAAGTGTGCCTGCATCTTCATTGATATGTCTTCAATCTTTATACAGTGCTCATTAATCTTCTTTTTGTGGTCATTCACCTCCAGCTGCAGTTCATCATTGAGCTTTATGTCCAAAAAGTTCAACTTGAACTCCATTTCAGCTACATTCAACTCCAGCTTGTTAATTGTCCAATCTTCCAGCTCCATGGTATCAGATGTAGCATCATCCACCCATGTAAAAAATTTACAGTGTGGCTTCTTTTCCTGGACCAAATTCAACTATACAGTTAATAAGATTGACATACCAAAAATAACGCATGAAAAAAATCAACCTCACCTTGAAGTTGGGGCACCCAAAAAATGATCTATTAAGGTTCCTAGGTGTCTTGGAGGTGTAAACAACATTGTGCCTCCCACATTTACACAATGGAGCAGCTCTCCTTCTTCAACTTCTGGACCCAAAGGAACTACTTGAGCTCCCCCTTCTAGAAGACATAATCATGGCATAAACACAAAGAACAACCCTAAATCGAACATTATACACCCACTTTCCCTAAACCGTCAATCAATTTTCCCTAAATTCATGCGTTCAACCTTCGATTCGATGTCATGTTTCTGGTTTAAGTTGAACCCTAACAAACAAACGACGGCGTTTCTTGGATGAAAGAGAACTGTGTGTCCAACGTGGATGGGTTTCAACAAACGACGTCGTTCTTCATACCCACGTGGGCTTCACAATGTCACTTAACGTGACACATCAGCACCGTCATTCACACCGTCACTTTTGGTTTGACAGAAGGACTAACGTGAGTCCTGTTTCACATTGTTGGGGACTATTCTACGGGTTTATTCTTCTTAGGGACTAATTTGGCCACTGCATTTTTTGTCAGAGATCAATTTGGGTCTTTACTCAAAAAATATTTTGTTCTCAATGTCAATGTCCATATTCAATTTCAAACAAAGCCATCCCTACTTCGCAGAATTGGAGGACCACTATAAAGAGTGCCACAAGCTAAAAGTGCAATGTTTCATACACTAAAGTTGTAAGTAGTCACAAAATAAATGAAACAAGAGACAGATGCATTTAATTCTAATACTGACGCATAAAGGAGAGAAACCATAGTTCAATTTCTTCAAGTTCATCTAAAAGCACAAGAAGAAAGTGATATATAATAACTAAGAAAAGAAGAACATTTTGAGGAAGCTTAAAACTGAAATTATGAATCACAAACCTGAGTTTATTGTTCCAGATGATCCCATGTAACTGACATCTAATACAATTCCTGGTATAGACTCTGGAAGTAGACATTTTAGTGTATGCTCAAACATGACAGATTAAGAAATACACATCAAAATTAAAGGTAGAAATAAGGACACGATGAATGATGATTTTTTTAGTTCGAGAAGATAAAATTCAATTCTAAATAATTAACGGTTGGATAAAATCTTCATTTTCTTTAAACTCATCATATTGGATCTCTACAAGGTATTTTTTTTAATTAAATGGATCAATTCGACAAAGAAACACGACAAACTTTAATAAACCATGTTTACCAATTTATAGAAAAAATAAATCCTCAGCTCATTAAAAAACCCACACAGTTCCATGACGTAAAGCAAAGACGTTTAATTTTTATTTTTTATTTTTTGGATAGCAAAGACGTTTAATTTGTGTTGGAAAGGAAACAACCATGCCTGCATCCAAAAAAAAAAAAAAACAACTATGCCAGCCCACATATAGAACTGGGCAAATGACATGCCAAGTTATTATTGGACTAACAAAAGCCTAAGGAAGACAGAGTCACCAACACAAGGAACAAAACTTCGGTGCCACGGATGCACTAAGTTCAGTGTATTCCTAGTTTATTTTTACTAGAACAGGTAGATGAATTTTGCACAAATTTATAGGACCCAAAATCTGTCTACGTATCTCCCTGAAAATTTGGGAAGCATTAAACTCAATGCATAGATAGCATTATAGATTTTTCCGAACGGAAGCCCATCACCTTAGTCAACGGTATTATTTGTTGGTTAGTTGGATCTTGGAATTTATATTTAAACTCTAAATCCCAACAACATAGCATTTAAATTTATGATTTAGTGTGTGTCATCTTAAAGGACACAAAGTTATGTCTTTTAAATTATACTTTTTTTTCTTTAAATCTAAGTGGTGGTTAATTATGATTTATCTCTGAAAATAAAAAATAAATAAATAGGATCCTATTAGCCAAATACGTGTCAGTTTTAACTATTTATTTCTCTCTCTCTCTCTCGGCTTAGATTTCGCTCCACAAACTAACTGCTGTGCTTTTCACTCCCATTTATTACTATAAATATAACTTGGATTCTCGCGTGCCATCATCATGGCCTAATTCAGCAAAGTCGCACTTATTTAGGATACCAACTTTTTAATCTCTAGTAAATTCTACTATTCCGTGAATTAAGTTGTGTAGTAAAAGCTTGATTTCTTAACTTGTTCTTGAAGTTATTTATCTCCTCAAAAATTTTCCAAAACCATTTTTTATTTTTGAAATTTTTACTTTTTTTCAGCTTTATAGCTGTTGTTGAATGGCTAACAGGACTATGGGTATGGTTTCTCCTAATAGGGATCCGGGACCACAGCATCCACCACAAGCTAGGCTCTGTGTATAACCTCACCTTTAATGACGTTCAGAGCCAATTGGGGAACACAGGGCAGCCTCTCCATAACATGAATTTGGATGAGCTTCTAAAAAATGTTATCTCAGCAGAAAGTGGACAACAATTTGTGGAAAATCATTCATGTGGGAACATTGGTAATTTGAATGGGACGTTGAGTAAGATGGCATTTGACCCAATGATCATGGGATCAGATTGGTTGCCATTGCAAATGCAAATGCACCAACACCAACATCAGGATCAGCATAAACAAGTAATGGGATTGTGTCCAGATTTTGGTGTTTATTAGTGATTGTTTCGATTTTTTTTTTTTTTACGTTATAAATACTTATAAATATAAGCTAGGTTAAATAGGTTTCAGGAAAAACTGTTATAAGGAAAAAAAAATTATAATGAAGAAAAAAGCTGAAAGATAAAATCTCTTTATATGACTCTATAGGATCTTCATACATATTTATATATATCTGTAAAAAATAAAATTATCTCAAATACCTCATCAAACGCTTAGGGGACGTTTGGTACAGGAGAAAAAAAAGTTTATCCTGAAATCATGATTATTGGAAATATGGTCGGGAATTGAGTTTTCCGAAAATATTACCAAAAAGCTGTTTGGTTAGTCAAAATATTACCGAAAATATTAGGTAAAGATTATTAATTCTATGTTTGGTTGTTGGTGAAATATTTATAAGAATATGAGTTATTTTACAAAAATAACCCCTAGTATTTGTTTATGATCTGAGTTATTTCATTTATCCACCGTCAATGGAAGAGGAATTTTTTCGCCCTAGGTTTTCTTCAACATCTCTCCCAAGTCTTCATATGTTGCCTCTGGTTCAGGTATCTTGAGCAGAGTTTGTATTTCAAATGCTATCTCTATGATAAAAACTTGGTACCCATTCTGATGAAAAGGAATTGAGGCGAGAGGGAACAATAGGGTGGAGTTGCGCGCACTGTTCGTAGTGAGAGGGACAACAACGATGATACCATAGCATTGACAACAGGTTGAGGTCTCTGTGTTCGTATTTGTTTTTATTAAACATGGCCTTTTAGTTGGTATTTTGTCTTAGGTTGAGGTATCTTTGTGTTGGTGGACTGTACATTTGTGTGGGAGTGCTGGAGGGTACTTTTGTCTCAGATTTGTGTTTGCATTTTTTTGTAGAAGTAGGATTTGTCAAATACCACATTTTTTTGATAATCGCAAATGACACTTTTCTTTGTAATTGAAAATAACGGCAAATAAAGATGTCTAGGTAACAATTTCAGTTACCTTGGACCAACATGTTATTTTATGATTACCAATGATCTTTTCCAGGTAAAATTCACAAATACTCTATATCAAACATACCCTTAATTGAATAGGCAAAGAATAGATACTCCAATGCTGTGCATGCTCGTGAGTCGTGACCAACTTGTGACAGTTGCAAGTCACATAAAGAACTCAGGAAAATAAGCTACTTTTCGGGGTGTTTATATTTTTAACAGTTTTTTTATCCAAATATAAATAAATATCTTTTTTAGCCCTCAGCAAATTTTATAATATCCGTTTTAATCCCTAGCAAATAAAAAGGATCATCGTGGTCCCTAAGAAATTCAAAATAGACTTATTTAGTTGAAATCGTTCTTCCCTACAAATTCAAAAAAGACCCATATTAATCTCTAAAAGGACTAAAATGGGTCCATTTTAAATTTTTTAGGGACCACGATGAGCCTTTTTATTTACTAGCGACTAAAGCGACATCGTAAAATTTATTGAGGACCAAAAAGAATATTTAATCTACAAATTTTTAAAAGAGGGAATTTTATATATTATTTTAAGGATATAAAGGACTATTGACAAATTTTATAAAGACTACAGTTATATCTACTAATTACTTATATAAATTACGGAACTACGAATAAAACCTAAACCTTTTAAAAAGGTAATTACATATCAGTAGCCAAAACAACTCTTGTTGACACGTTGTTCTTTTTCTCCATGAATATTGGGAATGTGTTGTTGGCTTAGATCCCAATTCCCAACCAATATGATATATAATATTGGGGGTTAAGTTAAAAAATTGCATGCAGACTTAACTACAGGTGGCAAAGTGGGCGTCTCGTCCCGTCAAAAAATGAGTCAGTCCGCTCCCATTCTATTTTTAAATGTGGGCTGAAAAATTCAGTCCGTCCCGTTCCGTTTGGCGGGTTAGAGAGGTTAGCCCGCCATTCCAAATCTATTTTACATTAATCCGCCTCGGCCCGCTTATGCCCGCCATTAACCCGTCAAAAAATGAGTCCGCTCCACCCTATTTTTGAAATGGGTTGAAAAACACAGCTCGCTCTGCCTCGTTTAGCGGGTTGAACGGATTGACTCGCTGAGCCGAGCCCATTTTGCCGACTCTAAATTTAACCAGAAGGTGAGACCCATACGAGAAAGAAGAAGAGAAAAGAAGAAATTGCAGCGCGCTTTTAAAAGTATCAGCAGAAAATATCTGAAACATTATTTTTATATTTCTCTATAATAAGAGCAAAATGTACGGTCATCGTTCATTTGACATGCTTTCTAAAACATGTTTGTTGAAAAAAGTGTACTATTCCTTCCTTCAATTGCTTACGTTAAAGACTATTTAACACACAAGTTTTTGACCATGAGATACTAATAATAGGTTAAAAATAAAATAATTAATTACGGTATTTACAATACAGCATTTTAAATTTTTAAATAACTTAGAAGTGCATGCATGAATTTAACCAATTTATGTTCATAAATGATATGAACCCGGGATATTAGATCCAACTTATACATGGTCTAAGAGATCCAATAACCAAGACTTAAGAAGTAAGAAAACATCAAATATGTATATCCCGCCTACCTTAACATCATCTCACAAACATATAGCTACGGAGACAACAGCTCAAAACTCTACAACTCCCTAGTAACCAATAGTTAAGGAACAAGTATGAGATTCTAGCTATCCTAAAAGGCATAGCTCATAAATAGGTATTTCGCACATAAGTACAGAAGTCACCATAGTCCACTAATGAGATTAATACCGCCATATTAAGGCTACATAAGCAGGATATCCAACCACTATATATGGAGACTTGAAACTCATGTATGATCATCTAATCCATCATACTTATAGTTCATTGATCAAATATTGACTTGAGCGTCGGGGTGCTTTGCAAGTAGCTTCCACTTTTGTCTCAGCCAAACAAAGTAATCCAACACCAGTCAATCATCCCGTAGGAGTATCCCACAATGACATCCATATATCCCGAAGCATATATTTCTAGTTGTCATTGGATCAGACTCAATCATATATGATCCAGACCAAAATCCCTTGGACTGATAAAAAAATATTTGACATTTCGAAAAATAAGTTTGAAATATATAAAATTTAACTACCGATCAAATAGCTATCGAAAGTGCTCAAAAACTCGAGTTCCAAATTCATATATGTATACAATATAAAATATTGAAACATTGATTTTTTTTATCAATTTATAATAACTAATTGCCCCATCATGTAATAACTTGATAAGCGGGATGTGCCAAAATAAAAAATAAATTGGGTCTGAAAATCTCTGGTTCATTCCTAGGCCAAACAATTTGGGACTGGGTCGATAATCAAACACTTTCTGTAATTTGAATATCACACTTTTAATCGAACACTTTCCCTAACCACCAAGATAAATAGCCTTGGTCAATATTTTTGGTCCAAAGAGCAACCCATCATTCCCTAAACTACTGTCAAAGTTTATTTGTGACGAAAAAATTAGTCACAAATAATAATTTTTAACAGAAATAATCAAATTTCGTTGCAAATAAATTTGTGATGCAAGAATTTATGACAAAATTTCATAAAATTTCGTCGTTAATAAGATTTTTTCTTGTATACGTGGGCTCTTTCACATTTTTCATCTTTTCCTTTTATTGGCTGCAAATGGAATATTAGATGGGATGAAAAGAATGAACAAAGCAAACTCTGACACATTATCTCATTATTCAATCACTGCCGAAAGAACCATTCCATCTCCATCCTTCTTGCTATACGCTGATATGAATTGTTTAACTACGACTTTTCAGTAATCTTCAAGCCTAAACTTAACCTAACATTAAACAATGATAGCCCCTCTCTTTTTCTCCTAACAGCAATGACTTTTAGCTCAAATGTTTATTAGACACGCCATATACATTACATGCTTACACAGATCCTTTTTTATTACCGTACACTCCCCACTTCTTAAGTAAAAATGGGATAGTATAAAAAGATGCTATTTTTTGTTTTTAAATTTTTTTCTTTTGAAGTAAGCCATGTGACATGAAAACACAATCATTTGTGTACTGAGACAAATTATGCAAGTGATATATTTCTTTTAAGAATAATCGTTATTTACATTGACACAAGTTCCTTACACGAGTATTAGTTTTAAGTTGAACAAAAACATTTAAATTTATAATCAATTTGTTAATAATAAATAATGTAGATAAGTGTGTTAACTCACTTTTATTTTTATTCATTTAAAATATGAATGGAAGGAAAGGAAAACTAAAGGAGTTTTATAAATTTTAATGATTACTCAATAATTTTGAAAATCTCTATATTTTAACATTAGGTTTATGTCTTGGTAGACTAATTACATGTTTATTGTTTATTACTTTTCATTAAAAAGCTTTTGAGTTAAAAGTTTTCTCCTGAACATTTTGATTTGTTTTTAGAAAATTTAAATAAGTTTATTCAAGAATGTACTAAGTACTAATAAAGTTAAACTTTAATTCATTGTTATAAATTTATATATTCAAGTATTATCATATTATTAAAATTACTTAAGTTTTTATACAGTTTTTATTAAATAATTATATAAAGCTTTTCTGCATTGAAAATAAACATAACTAAATTAAGGGGAAAATGTTTTTCCTATAACAGAAGATAAACTAATTATTTCATGCAACCCTAAAATAACGTTGTTTTGCGATTTAAAAAAATAAAAGATATTTTAAAATTCTTACGCTCTTATATTATGAACTTAATTAAAATACCCTTTATTTTTCTGAAACTCAAAAATAATATCATTTTGAAATTGTTGGAAATAAGGTGCAGGGGAAACACTAGTCCCATAACCAATACCAAATTTGATTAATATGAGGAGCGTTAATTTTCTTATGTTATCGATAATAAGCCATGATTCCTGCGGATACATAAATATATAGGTTTCACAATTTCTTTTCAAAAAAACAAACAGAAAAGGATGACAAGAGTTTCGATCTATCAACAAGAATGAAAATATGTTTTCCTATTTTTCCAAATATAAGAAAGAGCTGAAATTTACATGCACGTGGCACGTGCAGGTAAGTTTTAGCTCTTTCATCAATTAATTATTCTTATCTTTCTATTAAGTGTTTATAGGAAAAATCACCTTTTTTGGACACATGACAAAAATAAAATAAAATCAGTCGATTGATTATTTGTAAAGTAAAGCAGTTATGTTATTATTTCAGCTAAATTCATAAAAGTAGCCACAATTGTCTTAGGTGGCCTCCAACTGTAAAATAATATATGCTACGGGGTCCAACATCCGTGAATTTGATAAATACCAACGACGGTTGCGCGGCCTCACAGTTACTAATCTCACACTCTCTTCTCTCTCTCTCTAAACTCTGCATCACACGGCTAAATGACCAAACATTTATCTGCCATGAATCTGAAAAATGCCAGGCACAACATGTAAAGTGATCCAAAACAGCAATATTTGTTTCACCAGGTTTATTTTCATACCTCATTTTCTTGTCTATCTGAAACTTATTAGTACACTTAGATTTATGTCTTGGTCACTCACTAGCTAATGTGTGTTAGAGAGGTTTTGGGGTTGGTAATAAATATTTTATTATAAGGTTTTGACATGGCTTAATTGGTAATATATATTATCATGATAATGGTGATGGTGTAATGAGAAACAGATCCTTTCATTACAGATGGGGAAAAAAGGAGGCAGCTGGTTCTCGTCGGTGAAGAAAGTTTTCAAGTCATCTTCTAAGGACTCGCCGGTGCCGGTGAAGAAGGTGATCCACTCTCCTGTTCTTATCTTGTTTTCAAACGTTTTAGTAGATGATTTAAATGGTACTCTGTTATATTTTTATTTCGTTTTTGCTAAAAGATAGAAGTTTTTTCTTTCTTCTTTTTGGGCTTCAGGTTTATCTGTTTTTTAAAATTGTAGATTTCATTTTGATTGAAGTTCCAAAAATATAACCAAATGCTGATTCAACTCCAATCAAATCTTCATTTATTAATATGCAATTTTTATTATTTTATTTGGAATCCTTAACCAGGTTTATTTAGCCCTGCAGTTAAAGTAAGTCATGAAAATTTCCATCTTATAGGCAATAGCAAACTGGAGTCACTTGGATGGTAATAAGGGGTTATGTTATTTTATATTCTTAAATCATAAACAACTTTGTTGAGTTTGTTCATACATTATGTCGTTAATAACTAATTCACATCGAAATTCTTGGATTAGTCATGAACTTTCTTCAACCTCCAAACCCCGAAAGGAAACAGAAATTGTATACCTGCAGCATAAGTAATGATGGTTGGGAATAGCTCATACTTCGCATGCTGATAAGAACCCTTGTTGTTGGGGTCAGCAGAAAGACAACCGGGATCCCCGCAGAGGCTAGGTATTGTTGTAGGTCTCTGATCTAGTTTAATTTTTTCTTTTCTTAGTAGTTTGGGCTTGGGCCATTAATAGCTTCTGTTAGGATTTTCTAATCCTATTTATATTCTTTTGACTTGTAACGAGTGGCGGTGAAGTGAATATAGTACAGACAAGCTGGATGTAGCCTATATTGGATGAACGAGGATAAATTACCGAGTCAATCTCTCTTCTCTTTTCTCTTTTCTTTTTTCTCTTTTCTCATTTCCGTTTTGTCGATTTTGTGTAATGCTATCATCCCAATCTATTTCTGCCTTACACACTAAAAGCTAAAACCTCCTCCGAAGGTAAGTGCACAGCATGTTATTTGCTTGCTGTAATGTTGTTTTTGTCCTTTTATGTTTTCTCTGTTTTCAGGACCATCAACCCAGCACATCATGCATGTAATTATGTGTGTTTTATGGTCCCATATGATATGATACCAACATGTATATCAAATAAATTTGCTAGTACATCTGTCACATATTTATAACCCATCACATCATTCATCTTGAACAAATAAAACTCTTGATCTTTTTTCATTATGTGATTTTTTCCATATTATTTCTAATCAGATGTTGTTGGGATCTGCTTGGATTTCATTTTCAGAAGGACAACAAGACAGAGAAATTGCAGATTGAAGCGCCAGAGGTGGTATCTTTTGAGCATTTTCCTGCAGTGAGTTCTCCTGAAATCACAAATGAGGATAGTAACACATCAACGCCAGTGACTGAAGATAGAAATCATGCCATTGCCGTTGCAGAAGCAACTGCTGCAGCTGCTGAAGCTGCAGTGGTAGCTGCTCAAGCAGCTGCTAGAGTTGTTAGATTGGCAGGTTATGGACGCCACCCAAGGGAAGAAAGAGCAGCAACACTCATTCAATCATATTACAGAGGCTACCTAGTAAGACCTCATTTGTGTCTCATTTAAGCTTCATCAATCATGTTTTATTGCTTATGATTTTAAGTTAATGTCAGAAGTCAATGGTTCAGTATGACTCATAAATATGCCACCAACTCCCAAACTTTCACATTATATTGCTTGCAGTGCCATGCATGTGGTCCCTTTTATCTTCTTCAGATATTAAAATTTACCTTTTTAACTAATGAACTTGTAGGTTGTAGCTCAATCGGTACCGGCCTAAACATTAAGACTTGGGTGTGGTGATAATGTTTGAGGTTCAATCATCTACCAAGCCACCTATTTTCTCATCCTTGTAACCAAAATAGAAAAATAAACATTACATTTATGAACTTTTGTTTTCCGATTCCATGTTTGATGAGTTGCTCAAAACTAGTCTGAACAAATACTTTCCTTTTATTATTGCTGTGGGATGATAAAGGGTAGTTGGTCCCATTAAGTACTAAGTACTAGCTCCGTGAAAGCTAATTATTATTAATAATTATAATAACTCAATTTGGTTGGTTTGTCAGTTTGTGGGTACCCTTCAATTAGTTGTACCAGACTTGTAGACATCTTACTGAGGCATCCTTTATGATTTGATATTAATATCATCAGGTGGCTATATTTATAAATTATAATATATATTTCGGGAAATACAAGCCGGAGTAAGTAATATAATTTGCAAAAATTTATAAATATAAGTTATTCTTATCTTTGCCTTCAAAAATGCTTGCAATTTTTTGGGGTGTGCTTCAAGCCTGCATTGCGAATTTTTTTTATTTTTTATTTTTATCTTTTTGGTTGAAATTTTATCCTTTTATGACTCTTAAACAACATTGGCCAGTTTTATTTGCTATTTTTGGGTGTTAAAATGTGTAGGCTCGACGTGCACTGCGTGCATTGAAGGGATTAGTGAGGCTGCAAGCACTAGTGAGGGGACATAATGTGCGCAAGCAAGCGCAGATGACAATGCGCTGCATGCAAGCATTAGTTCGAGTGCAGGCAAGAGTAAGAGCTCGCAGACTCCAATTGACTCACGAAAAACTTCACAGGACAGTGGAGGAGCATGATCCAAGAGAACTTGAGAAGCAAGAGCCTAAGCCTATGAGCCCCATGAAAAGGTTAGACATCAATGGTTGGGACAATAGGCGTCAAAGTACCCACAAAGTTAAAGAAAACGATTTGAGGAAGCATGAAGCTGCAATGAAGAGAGAGAGAGCTCTTGCATACGCTTTCAACTACCAGCAGGTTAGTCATTTGTCCTTAATTAGAATGTGTGTTGCTACAATACCTTTGTTATTTTCCTGTTACATGTATCCTTAATCACTATCAGTGTATGAATATTAAACACAATAACAGAATATAGATATGGGAAATGATCATTTCACACTAGTGTCAAATTTTGAAATTTGACACTAAATCCTATTCGTTGATTTCTATCGATCAACTGTTATCATTTATTGGGAATCAAACTTATTAATTAATATTAATTTTCAATAAATGATAACCGTTAGATTGGCGAAAATCAAAAGTTAGGATTTGATGTCAAATTTTGAAATTTGACATCGGTGTCAAAGATTCCTATCCCTGTAGATATAGCTAATGTATGGTAATATACCTAAGAATCTCTCCATGTGTTTAGTTCATTAAATATATATTAATGTATCAAAGTGTTGGTCTCTAGGGAAAAAAAAAAATGGTACCACTGTAATTACACCACTCTAATCCTAGCATAAAGATTTGTTCAATTCCTGCAAAGAACCCACATACATCAATAATCATTATGGAAGAAAAACATAACATTGCCTTCATTTTTCATTCTGAACTATTTTGTTTGCAGCAACAGAATGGTGATGATATGGGAATCAATTATCCTGATGAGCGTGAAAAGGCCCAATGGGGTTGGAACTGGTTGGAGCATTGGATGTCATCACAACCACACCATGTTAAACAGTTGGGGCCACGTGAAACCTCTTATATGACTCTTGCTTCTACAACCTCAACCCCCACCGATAACATGTCTGAGAAGACCGTAGAAATGGACATGGTTGCAACTCCCGGCCCAAGCAACCTCAACATGGGCCTCATGAACCAAGACTTTCTTGAATCAAGCCCAACTTCCAGTAGACACCATCAGAGACCGTCCAGCCCAAGTAGACCTAGCTATATGGCCCCAACCCAGTCTGCGAAGGCCAAACTTCAGGGTCAAGGCCCAGTTAAGCCAAGGGTTTCATCCGTGCCTCAGTGGAACTCATCAACAAAGGGAGGCTCGGTTATTGGGTCGGGCTGTGACTCGTCCAGTTCAGGTGGAGGGAGTGCAGCTTACCAATTTCCAAGGAGCCCGAGCCCAAAATTTAATGGGGTTGGTTCACAATCTAGACGGATTGTGGGTAGCAGCCCAGATTACGCAGAGGATTGGGCCCTTCCACTCGGAGCCCATGGCTGGGCATAATTTCATAATTTGCTTTTTTCTATAACAAAAAAATTTAATCATAATAATTATTATAACAGAGTGTATTGTCTGCTCTGCGTTTGATCATATGGCATGAATTGGTATTTATGTACGGTTTAATAATGTCGTTGATGTCATGAATAATTTTTGAGATTGTAATATCTAGTATGCACATCTTATATTCTGTTTTACTGGTAAGATAATAAGTTTTTAGTTAATTATCTATAGCGTCGGAATACAACAATTAAATGTTAGTCAGTATTTTCGGCCTGGTCACTCCACTAACTGACTCTTCGACATTACTTTTGATCGAGGTGATATGAAAGACATAATTTATGAGTACGAAGCAACTATATTTCAAAAAATTTGATCGTGTCATGTCTGATACTTTTCGACACTTCTTGATATTTTAACACGCGTTGTAGAGACTCAAAAAAGGTTCAAAGGATGCGTTGGGTTGCGTTTTTAGCTCCAACTATTAAATTTGTTGAATTACGATTACTATTTTATTGAGTTTAACATAAATATTTGAGTTATCTTATATTTCTTTGCAAAATTGATGGCTATTATAAGTTTAGTTTTATTTTTTTATTAAGTTATTCATTATTAAATATGAATAGAAGCTGTTTAATGGGGATGGAAATACAAGCGAGATAGACTTAGAGGACGCGTATGATGATATGAATAGAAGATTTGTACGCATAATTAATACACATGAAGTTAAGGAGGCTTTAAAGAGGATGAAGACTAATAAAGCCTTGGGGCCTGATGGTGTCCCTACTGAAGTGTGGAGAGGCATGGGGGATGTGGCAATAAAATGGTTGACCAATCTTTTTAATAAGATTCTCCAGACGAATAAGATGCCTGATGTATGGAGGAAAAGTATGATTGTGCCTATCTACAAAAACAAGGGAGATATACAGAATTGTTCAAACTATAGAGGCATTAAGCTAATGAGTCATACTATGAAGCTGTGGGAGAGGGTTATTGAACATCGCTTGAGAAGAGATACCAAGGTTTCTGTAAATCAATTTGGATTTATGCCAGGAAGATGTACCATGGAAGCCATTTTCTTGATGCGACAACTAATGGAAAGATACCGAGAAAAGAAGAAGGACTTGCATATGGTGTTCATAGACCTTGAGAAAGCATACAATAGGGTTCCAAGGAAAGTTTTATGGTGGGTCCTGGAGAAGAAAAAGGTTCCATTAAAGTATGTAAAGGCAATCAAGGATATGTATGATGGGGCTACTACATGTGTAAAAGCTTGTAACGGATCATCAAGTTATTTTCCTATCACGGTAGGTGTACACCAAGGGTCGGCTCTAAGTCCTTACCTATTTGCCTTAGTTATGGATGAACTAACAAAAGATATTCAAGAGGAAGTGCCATGGTGTATGCTTTTTGCAGACGATATTGTGCTTATTGATGAGAGCAAGGAGGGTGTTAATAGAAAACTTGAATTGTGGAGAAGCACATTGGAATCCAGAGGATTCACATTAAGTCGAAGCAAGACTGAGTATCTGAAGTGTGAGTTTTCTCTAGTACAAGATGAGGACCAAGAACCTGTGCATCTAAATGGTCAAGAGGTACCCAAAAAAAATGCTTTTAAATACTTGGGCTCCATTTTACAAAATGGTGGAGAGATTGATGAGGATGTAAATCACAGAATCAGAGCAGGGTGGATGAAATGGCGTAGTGCATCTGCATTTTTGTGTGACCGCAAAATTCCCCTGAAGTTAAAAGGAAAATTCTATAAAACGGCAGTACGACCGGCAATGCTATATGGAGCGGAATGCTGGCCAGCACATAGGCAACGTGAGCATAAGATGGGAGTAGCAGAGATGAGGATGTTAAGGTGGATGTGTGGGTACACAAGGATGGATAAGATAAGAAATGAAGATATTCGACGAAAGGTCGGAGTAGTACCGGTAGCCGAGAAGATGAGAGAACATAGATTGAGGTGGTTTGGGCACGTGATGAGAAGACCCATGGATGCTCCTGTAAGAACAGAAGTTTGTTACCAAGAACTAAACACAAAAAGAGGCAGAGGTAGGCCGAAGCTTACTTGGGGGAAAGTAGTAAAACAAGATTTAATGGAGTGGGATATAGATTGGCGGACAGTATGTCTTAGAAAGGAATGGAGAAAAGCTATAAGTATGGTGGAGGGTTAGACTCGCTGTTACTCCTATGTTCCAGATGGTCCTTTTTTAGTCCTTTTCCCCTTCATTTCCCCCACTTCTTCTTGTCCCTTTCTTTTTTACTTTTATTTATTTATATATACATATATTTTTATTTCATTTTATTTTATTATTTTATTTGTGTATTTTTATTTATTTATTTATTTATTTATTTATTTATTTTTATTTTATTTTTTTTACTTTTTTTCAACCGTTTTGTATCTTTCATGTGGGTTCATCTACCACCGACCCCAATTAATTTGGGATAAAGGTGTTGTTGATGTTGATGTTGATGTTGATTCATTATTAAATATAATATATACTACATAAATTAAAAATATTATTTAATATCAAAACATGATCTAATGTGTCGAAATTTAACATTTTTAAAAATTAACATGTCAGAGTATCGTGTCGTGTCGTGTACCGTATCGATGCTACATAGATTTAATGCATCAGAAAACCGTTAAATAGTGGTCAATATTTTCCTGTTCATACGTATTTGCAGAAATGTAACAAGCATTCCATTTCTCAGTCACATGTATAGCTCGACATCGGTGTAAGCATTTGGTTCAGCCAATGATAGTAGAAAAGAAGACAAAGCCTTCATGTAACTTGGGCCCTGATTGTAGCTTTTTCATAAGATTTATGGGAACAAATAGTGGGAAACCAACAAAAGTAATAAATATGAATAAGGAATTGCCCATTGGACCATAGAGGAGAATAGGCCTGAAAAAGAATGAAGGCCTTTAGTAGGATTAAAAGGATTAAGGTCCAAAAGCAACATTATTAGCCCATTTAGAACCAAGGTGTGATTGACATTGACGTTAACTTTCTTTCTTTCTTTTTTTGAAAAGGACGACGTTAACTTTAAGTAATCACGAGTTAAGACTTGGAACTATAGTCAATTCTAGTTAGATTTATTTTGGTTATATTCACTTAGTTATAAATTACTCTAGTATGATGAGGTTCCGTGACTTATGTTTACTTGTTGATTGATTTTAGTTATGTTTTTAAATGATTTTACAATTGGGACTCATCCTAGCTCCGAGATTGTGAGTGTGTTGTGAACCGTGGTAGATAGTGTTTTGAGGAGCATTTAGTTCATAGTTCCTGCACTCATGTGAGCTTGGGGCTTGTGTACATATTGAAGACTCGCTTGCAAGCATTGTATAGCATAAGTATTTTTATGTTTGATTTTGGCTATCGTGTTGAAAGAAGATTGGAGAGGATTAAATAATTGTAGATCAGAATTTATCCCGTTCATTACTCAAAAAGATTACCTCATAGTGCCGTGACCGTTGATTATCCTTATCCAGCATTGAGAAATAGTCAAGGTGGGACCATGATCGAGGGCTTTTGAGTCATTTCACAACGAACGTAGAAAAGAAAAACGCGCATGTTCTCGTGAAGAAGAAGCGCCACAGGAGCCTTCCCTTGGTCACGACACAATCACAGTTCGCACTCATTCACTCACGCTTTCTCTCTCTAGACTTATTGACCCATCTCTCTCTTTTTCTCTCTCTATAAAAGCACGCATAAGATAACACACACAACCTACTTCACAAGCTCATCGTAACCATGGGGTCACTGAAGAAGAAGCTCCATCATCATCATGATCATGATGATCGTGGACATGAATCATTATGCTACGACACACCGCCCAAGCTCTCTATTCTACCCTCACGGCCGACCATGCAGCCAGAGGCGCCTACTCCGCCGCCGCGGACGAGGGTATCGGTTCCGTTTAAGTGGGAGGAAGCACCGGGGAAGCCTAGGCCCTGCCACACCCGATCCGAGCCCATGGACAGTGATAGTACTGTTGCTAGAACCTTGGAGTTGCCTCCGAGGTTGCTGTTCTCGGAGACTAATGTTTCCAACAACATGCCTTCTCCAACAACGGTGTTGGATGGGCCTTACGTTGGACGTGCCATGTCTTTTACGTCGTCGTATAGGACCACCCCTAAGGACACATGGAATTCCAATTTTGGGTCTAGCAGGTGGGGCGGATTGAAGAAGAGCAACAGGGTTGGTCGTGAGGGTAGTTTTGACTTTTCAAATTGGACTGAAGATGGTGCTAGTAAGGTGAAGATCACAAGAGTTAGGAGAAGAGGAAGCTTCTTGAGTCTCTCTGATGGAAGTTCACACTTGTGGGTATGTCCCATTTTCCTATTTGAATGTCTTATGCATGCTTTGAGTCTATGAACAAATCAAACACCACTTTTTATTAATTTTAAAAGGAAAGAACAGTCAAAACTAAAACTTTTTTGTTTTTCTTTTATGGAATAGCTGTCATTCATGCAAATTCTGTGTTTATTGGTATAAAATTTCTCAGATGGGTGATGAAATTGGAAACAAAATAATTGTGTTCGTTTCAATATGACATTCCATCCTTTTCAAATCACGGATACAATGATAACAAAAAAGATATTTATTTAAAATAAAAATTCTTGTTAGTTTATAAGCAAAAATTTACAAATTTTTGCAAATTATATGTACTTCCAAGAGTACTTAATGTAATTAAGAGTTTGTAAATAAATAATTTGCAAATATAACCTTCCAAAATTCTTATTTGCAAATAATTTATATTTTTTTGTCTCTATTATATACAAACCCTCTCCTTTTCAAAGTCAAAGCTTTTTATAAAATTAAATAAGGATAAAGGATTTCTTCAATCAATCGAGATAAGTTATCATTAGTGAGTCAAAACGACGTCGTTTTGGGATGAAAATCAAGTTATTTTTGTAATTATATTATATTGCAAGGTTGTATTAATTTTTATCATTATAATTTTTTAATCTTATAACCCAAAACGACGTCGTTTTGAGTTTACTGTAAATAACTTTATCTCCTATTACCGAAAAAATAATTTTCCCATCAAATAAATAATCATCATTTCTGTTACCAAAAAAAAATAAAAAATCATCATTTCATTTAAAAGATGCAAGCTCGATTGTTTTACCCCTAAAGCGTTCATCAACATTGTCCTAATAATATTGGTCTTTGCATTAAGCCACAAAGTCTAAATAAAAATTTGTTCCTTTTCATTCTCTTTTTCAGAAAAAGTTGCACTTCTTTAATTCTAACAAAACATGTTACCCTTCCTTTCTATTATTAAAATTATTAAAACACTCAAGCGGCATTAACATGTTAGAACCGAAAAGCTAGACTTTAATAGATAGCTACCGAGAAAGCACTGCTTTTGCTGTGACTTTCGGTGTTTGTTTCGTATTCGTTTCGTCATTTATTTGGTTGGGTTCTTATCTTAATGACTTATTATGAAGTAATTTCATAACTGCAGGCAAGCATTTATGAAAGCTTAAAGCAAGTGGTCCCTTGGAGCCGCAGGCAAGAAAGGCAGAGAAAATGGGCACCAAAAATTGACACCGTTTGATCTTTAACCAATCAAACGTTAGAGTCGTCTATCACACCATTAACGTACCACTTTTTTCTTTTTTTTTTAAATTACCGTACCACTTCTATTTGTACAGGAGCAAGAATATAAAGGTGACACAAATATATATTCCTCTTATTTATAAAGAAATTCTAGGTCATGATGCAAATATGGTTTCATGCGAAAGATAACTTGTTCAAGTGAATCCTCTCATAGTGAATTATACATCTTAAGTATTAATTTCTTAGATTAGATTATGCCATTGTGTTTCAAATTTAATAATTACAAAGTTACTTGATCGCTAATTGTGTTGAATTGGATCCTCTAAAGTTCACTTTTTAAATACTAAGGGTGCAGTTTGTAATTCAATGGCCAATCTTCATTAACACATACTTGTTTTCAAATTTTTATAATACTTTTAATGGTTGAAATATTGCAGTTTGAAAAAGTTGTAAAAGATTTTGATACAATTAAGTTTATATTAAATTATTTATGGATATTGACCATAACATCATAGGGTAAATCTTTGGAGCAATGATAAGTTAAGTTACTCCTTTATAACCGGGACCTAATGTGTTTGGGTTATAAAAATTTAAGGGTAAATTATATGTGAGTGTAAATAGGTTGCACTAGACTTTGTTAAGGTTAAGCATAAATTTTTCAGCCGCCTTCTAGACATATCAAAAATCACTGAAAACAACTAAAATATTATTACGTTATTATTCATATATAATTATTTAATTTTATTTAAAATAAATAATATTATAAAAAAATTATATCTAAAAATATTCTATTTCATTGAGGAGGTGTTTGGTAGAGGAGAATTTTTTTTTTATCCAGAAATCTCAATTTTCAGAAATATAATGAAAATATTCAGTTTACGATAATATCCAAAAATTTAAAATTTAGAAAAATTTAATTTTTCGAGAATCCTGTAAAATGTCGTGTACCAAACGGCCCCTGAATGTATTCAAACCCCATGACTTATTTTCACCTCTAGTGACATACAATTAACTGCAATTAGCTTGATCTCAATTAAACTCTTTTAAGTATACTAAGTATAGAGGTTACGAAAAATTCCCAATATTTGATCAAAATCGTCCATGCGTCTGAGCCTCCCTCAAATCCATTACCTTTATCTAAATACCCTTTTTTAATTTTTTGGGAAACGTTAGAAAAAAAAAAGTTTTTCATATAAGCAACTCGGCGCGCCATCCACAAGTCATAGTGCATCGGTCAAACCCATTAAAGCTACCATTGTAGATCCTCAGTCTCGAAATCGTGACGCTCCAACCACCGTGTAAAAATTATTTATGGGTCTTTACTTTTTAGTTTCAACTGTTGGGTGAGATAACTCAAGTGCCGCACAGTTGGTTGCTCAGGGATTGAGTAAGGTGAGGATAACAATTATGCTTCGAGTTCCACCAAGTGCTATATTTGGGATGGACAAAAAAATACTATAATCTCATACTATGACTCTGAACTTCGAATTAGTTTCATAGACAATTCAAAAAGTCAAATTAGTAAGATACCGAGGAGTCTGATTCGCTTTAAAGAGTTAATTAAAATTAGTTATAAAAAAAAAAAAACTAGTAGGTGATATGATTGTTTATCATAGTATCCGAGTTTTAGTGATTAAAGGATTACAAGTTTGATCCTCATTGTTTTCTACTTTCAACTAGAATTAAATCCTTACAAGGTAAAACCAGAAAAAAAAAAAGCAAGTTTGTGCAATATTCATGAAAAATATATTAAAAAAATATAATATAAAACTCATTCACGGGTCTTCAAACAACTATCTTTTCCGCAAACCTTGGGGGTGTTTGGTTCAAGTTTTTGGAGAGGATTACCGGTAATCCTTCTTTGGTAAATGTAATTACCACGTTTGGTAGAAGGAATAAATTACGATTCCCGGATATCCAAGGATTACCGGTAATTTGATTTATAAAGAAAAGTCACTATTCAGATTACCAAAAATAATATGGTAATTCGAAATACCAATCAGAATACCAAGTAAAGGGAAAGCACAACAATAAATTTTGAGACAAAAATACTCCAATACACATAAAAATCTAGACCCAATCTATCAATTACAAAAGTAAAAATAGTTTGGGGTTATTTTTGTAAAATAACCTCATATTCCAAGTCATATTTCGTTCTAAACCAAATATGGAATCAGTAATTTTTACCCAGTATTCCCGGTAATATTTTGGCGAACCAAACACATCTTTCGTAAGATTCCAAGTAAACTCAATTTCTACTGAATTCCCATTAATCATGATTCCCGATCACCAAAAAATTTCTCTTGTACCAAACACACCTACTAAAGACTAGCCACACACCCATGGTCGTCCTGAATCCTGGTCGATTCCACCAATTCTAGTGGAATTAAGTTAATAAAAAATAGGTGGAAAAAAAAATATGTAATATCCACATTTTAAATTCAAAAAGCTTTTGTATTAGTAGAGCCTTTACTTCTTAGCTTAAACTAATATATGAAATGATTGCTTATCTCCTCAATTATTGCTCCTCCTTCGGACAACTATCGTTCGGCAAACTCTTGTATATGAGTAAATTTTTGGTGCAGCGCAACACTGAGACTCATGTAATCGATCAATGAAAACATCACACATCAACCAACACAAATCAAAGAAGAGAATATTGATTGATCTGTGATGCTCTTATTGATTAAGTACACTAAATTTTCAGTGCAACTGTTACACAAAATATTTTTCCCTCGCACACTCATGGTCTTGCGTTGCAGCCCGGTCAATATCTGTGGAATTAAAAAAAAATTCCTTCCCTCTGCCATTGTGACAAGCTCTAACCATCATATATTTATACGTCTTTTTTTTTTCTACCTTCACAATTTTTTTCGTTATTTTTTATTTTATTTTTTTCTAATTTTATCAAATTGGTCTATAAAAAAATTATTGTTTTTATGTTATAGGAAATAATTTTATCTCTAATTATCTCTTACATATATATAAAAGAGTGTGAAGTCTATGTTTTCTTCAACATAATTAATTTTAGAAAACAATTAAATAAAACAAAATTGAAACTATGATATGAAATTTCAGTCCTATTTCTATAGGAGCAATATAATTTAAAATTATTCGCAAAATTTTCTTTCGCAGATTTTTAATATAGTTACATATTTAAAATTTGAACTTGGAATTAGGGTTTAGAAAAATTGGTGCACTTATTTGGTGGTATGGATTGATTTTTCTTCCTCACAAAATATGAATCATTACATAAATGAGTTTGGTGTTTGTCATTTTAAATGACATAAGTTATATCATTTTAAGAGAGAGATAGACACAAGAAATAAAAATCATAAGAGAGAGAAAGTGAATAATTTTTTTTAATTTAAATTTTAAATAATTTTTTTTTGTGTGTTTATCTCTTTTTTAAAATGACATAACTTTATATCATTTAAAATGACAAATATTTTTCCCAAAATCATAAATAAATTGTTTAGGACAATTTATTCATTAACTATTTTTTTTTGGACATTACAGGGAATCGAACCGCACACCTAATACACCCTAAACACACCAAACACCACTAAGCTATCCCTAGTGGTGCATTCATTAACTATTTCATCTAATCAGCAACCATCGAAGGTGTTGGATGTGTCTGTTGGCAATGGGCTATAATATTAAGGCCCTGGGAAAATTGCTCAAGTTTCATTGGCGAATTTGGGCATACGATCTGTTCAGTTTTTTTCTTAGATTTGGGCTTATATAATATTCTGTTATTTTTTTAGAGAAAAAAATAAACTGTTAAGCCCAGATAATATTATGCAGCCCCTGTGGGTCGGTCCCATATTTGTGTTCACCGACATGAGTCTTGGTTATAAATGGATACGAGTCTTTATCGCTTAGTGTGCTGACTCGGGGTGAGGGATTAATCTCATAGCTATCGGTTGTGGGGATACCCGGATGTAATCCAAAAAAAAACTAAAACAACTAAATGAAAAATGGGATTTGCATTTGTCATTTAACATGACACAACAAACTTTTCTACACACATAATATTTTGTGGGACCCACACTTTTTGAAGAAAAAAAGAAAATTACGGTATGTAAAACGAATCTCTATAACATTACAGAATCACTTTTCTTACAACATAACTCTTATAAAACCAAGAAAAATTATCATCAAATAAGTATTTAGCATTTATTTAGAAGAACGGAAAATGAAAGCAGAAGATTTGATCACGTAAATTATGCCTAAAACTTTATTTGATAAGACAAATTAAAATGTGAGTACAACCACTTTTTATATTATACAATTTTTATTATTTGGTTACAATAATTTCTACGAAGAAAATAAATATAAGAACGTGGGAATTATATAATTATTTTCTTTCATTTTGGTATAAAAATTGTCTATATAAGAAAATTATTAATTAAATATGCGGACCTTTATCTAATTTGATTTTAAGTGTTTCTTTTAAAAAGAAGTATCGTATTACTTTTTAAAAAATTATAGTTATATTTGACATGTTACAAATCGAATGTAAATGTTACATATCAACTAATAAGAATTTAAAATTTATAAGAATTACAAATTTTTATTATTTAATCCATGACTTTTATTATCTTTTAATGTTATTTTAATACCAAATAAATCCCTTAATTTTATGAAGTTGTACTGAGATATTAAATTTTATTGAGTTTGACCTATGAGCTGTCAAATCCATGGACATAAAAAGAAAAAGCCACTCATTAACCAAAAACCGAAAAGATAAATCAATGGAGCATTCTACGGGACCTACGACGCACTCTGCCACAAATTACGCCGCGGATTATCCCGTGATGATATGAATAAAGTAAATTTATTTTTTTATTAGTTAATATCAATTTTTAATACAATAACGGATATGGAAATCTCGTAGTAAAGTCCATGGCCTTGACTTTTTTAGTTAAAGGGAAGACGTGTTTGTGAAAGGTGATGTGAGATCTGAGAAGAGATCATCACCAAGAAATTAGCACCTTCAAGATGTCTATTGCCTTTGATTTCACCAATTCTCCAACAATAGTGTACATATATACCATTATCTGTATACGTTCCTCAAAGATGAAGTTACGATAACAATAAGAATTTTTCTTTTAATTTTGAGAATTCTATACATAATCAGTTAACTTATTGTTTCTTGTTATATTATAAATTATTTTAATTTAAAATCATTGTATGAATATCATTTTGTTTTTACAAATTATTTCAAGATTTAGTCAAATG